CATTGACTTTATTTCTGTGGCCCTCGCTCGGAAAAATAGTATTCAATCTACAGACAATTTGCAATGTCTAGATAAATCGAATTTCAATCTAAACTTACATGAGAGCGAGATTCAAGGTTATATTTACCTGCGGCCTCAACTCATTTTCATAAATCACTCCATAGCCGAATGTGAAATAGTGTTTGGTGTTTATTGTTGTCTCAATGAAAACCGCAAAAAACCTCAAGGAAATAGAATAAAAAAAGAGATCGGTGAATGTGTTGAAGGAAATGCATGCGTGATTTACAATCAGAATCTTACATACATACATAAACGTATAGGTGAAGGTACAAATGTAAAGCTACTGATGATTACGCAACTTTTGCAAACATTATCGACCCGATGAAGACAAGGAAAGCTCCAAAGAAGTGCAAAATATTATATGGATTACCGATTGCTACGAATGAAATGAGCAATGAGATAAATTTACGAATCGATGTAACCATTGTAACATTGAGCGATGTAGTTATAGCTGTGAGGCGATAAACGTTGTCGATACAGATGTATCTGAATTGAGAACTCATAGTAATAACGAAAATGTATTTGTACATCACTTCAACTAAGATTATTCATTAAGACCCACTGCAAAACGCAAATCGCAATAATATTTGCCCATGCTGTAGGTATGCATAAGTCATAATCAAATACAGTAAGCGATTCAGTATTGTTTGCCGCCCGAATGGCGTCGGATATCTCATCTCCAAGAATCAGATATATGGGTATAGAAAGTGTATGCTGAAAGCTATGACTAGGAATAAAGTAGAAAAGTGCAGATAAAATGGGGCTTACCACCATGAACATCGATTGCTTGGCATGTTTTCCATATGTTCTATACATATCCTCTTGACATATGCCAAGATAAGCGCTTAGCAACAAAGCTAGTGTAAGGAGAACAATTCCTTGAATTCGAATATTTATAATTTTCCACAAGCGTAGTATGAAAGTTTTTTCCTTTTGCAAAAATGTAGTGCCCTAATTTATTAGTGAAGTAAGATTCTCAATAACAATACTAGTAGATCGAAGGACAGGAAAGGGAATAAAATGGATAAAATTTAGGATCTTCTCCTGTTGTGTATTTATGTAAAAACTTCACGCTTTATCCTTGTCTACTTCTCCTTCTTCAAATTACATATTTTTATTTTTTTGTTATTCCGTCGAATTTTTCTTCTGCGTATTTCTTGAAAGATTTTCATATTCAGCGCGTTGTATGCTTTATTCCCCATAACTTGTGTTACTCCCTTTTCATAAATCAGCTTCCCAGAACTTCGACATCTACTAATGATAAGGCTGGACAAGATTTCTCAAGATAAACCAACTTTTACTGCATGTGAATCTGTGACTTTCCGATTGAATAACAAATCGTTTCCACAACTCACAAAATTTCGGAAATTCAATAATTCCTGTCGAAAGTTGATGCAAACTCTTCCAACAAAAAACGAATTGATATATAACGACCAGTGGCAGAAATTGCACCAATTTAATACATTGCATACCAGATTTTTTCCGTTAGCTGGCGCGTATGGCCAACAGCTGTTTTTTAGGTGTCCGCGTGTGCTCACTTTGTGTAGCACGTGGCCACGCAGAAATGATTCTTTATGTCATCTTTAATGATCTATACACCTTTAGCAATTATACGTGATATTATAACAATGTGAATTAGTGGATGTAGCTATGGATATCACTTGCTTTTGATCGCGTATGCGCTTTCCGCTTTTTCTTTTTTTAGTGGTGAAAAACTGAAAGATTATGTTGAATGGCTTTCGATTCTTCGTTCTTCTTTCTAAATATTGTTATGAAATCTACTGTTAGCTAGCGGTACCCCCACTATCTAGGTTGTTCTCTAGGCATCAAGACTGATAACCCTGGGGAAAAAAGAAGTGTTTTAAAGAAAAATATTGGAGAGAAAATTTTAAATCAGAAGTAACGTTTTTTTTAAGAGTGAAAATATCGCACCTATACAAAATGGTGGAATGTCAAAAAATTGCAACTCAGATGTTGAAATTGGTCTGCTGTCGTAGCTAGCCATTGTGAACATGATGATGCCGCCAGTCACAGTCAAAACAGCAACTATTTTCTTTACCGTATATGTGCGTCCACGCAAGAAGGTTCCGAGTGTCATATTTGCAAACAGGGAACCCTTGAAACATTTCTCTTACTTGGCCATAAGAGTAAGACATAAAACATTGGAAAATTCTGCAAAGTGGATAACGTGCTTACAGATTTGAAAATTATGAATAACGGGAAGTAGATATCACATCTAATAGAAGTATTATTACAGAAATTCACAATGAAGAATATAATGACGATCTTGAGATATACCCTAAAAAACAATAATCCTTCTTGAGCATTAATAAGGAGGCCCTTCAACAGCTCAAATTTAGCTATTATTTTTTGAATCGGGTGGAAAAAAATGGAATATGAAATGAAAGTGGAATACGAACA